CATTTTTCTTTTTTTTTTGTAGAGACAGAGTCTCACTTTATCACCCTCGGTAGGGTGCCGTGGTGTCACACAGCTCACAGAAACCTCCTACTCTTGGAGCTTAAGCTATTCTTTTGCCTCAACCTCCCAAGTATCTGGGACTACAGGCGCCCACCACAACACCCAGCTATTTTTTTGTTGCAGTTTAGTCGGGCCTGGTTTGAATCGCCACCCTTGGTATATGGGGCTGGTGCCCTACCCACTGAGCCACAGATGCCACCCTTGATTTGCATTTTTAAAGATCTCTCTCACTTAGTTGTGTGTCATATTTCAGAGAAGGCCATTCATAGCCTTTCAGCCACTGCAGTGACTCAGAGGACAGCCAGTCTAGATGGTGCCTGGACCAGGGATGTAGAGGGATGGAAAGGAGTCAACGGACTTTGGATATACTATAGCAGGTAAAATTGATAGGAGTAGGTGTCAGATTCAATATTGAAATGCTCACATTGAGATCCTTGCCCTCAGATCAAAGCCTTTGAAGTAAGGGGCCATGTTGTATGACTCTGATACCTGGGTCCTAGTATATAGCCCCTGCCATGGGGTAGACTCAATACACATTTCCTGAAAGGGTGAAACTGATTAGCACTCTCTTCAATGATCCTTTACCTGTAAAGTTATTTAATTCCTTCTTATATTTGTCCATAATCAATCTTCATGATATATCATGGGGATAAATGTCAATTTTCCAAAGAGCATACTTTGAGGCAAGTTAATACAAGAATAATGTTTCATTTATTCTATAATGAACAGTAAGTTCATGTTTCAAGTGTTGTCCAAGGGAGCAACTCCCCCAAAGGAACCTTATGCAAAGGTGAATGATGAAAGATCCCTCTTCATTTGCCAGGCTGGGTTGAAAAATGCCAGTTTGGTGGGGGCTGTCTTATGGGATTCCTGGCTCTAACACATGAAGAGGACATTAAACAAGCAATTTTGCAGGAGACCTACACATGGCAGGACATGTGGCACTTCTGGTGGCAACTCAGTACCTTGGTAGCACTGGAAGAAAGTTGTAAACTGAAGAAATGATGGCCCTTTTGGGGATATCTATAACTGAAGGTGTTTCTAAGTTTTCCTGAGGTGTTTCTTGTGTGTCATGCCTCGCACAGCCCTGTCCTCCTTCCCCCACCCTCTCCTCTAAGCTCCCTGGCTTCTTCCTCTGGTTCCCACCTCCACACTGCCCTCCTTTCCCTTGGCCACATGCCTTGTTTTCATCTTTCAATAAGAGGCCACCTGTATAGCTGGAAAGAGCAGCCTCCAGCTGGGCTTAGTTTTTATTGCACAAGGGTTTTAGAAAGTCCTGGGGTCCTAAAGAATAGGGTCTGATGAGGCCAGGAGTGGACAGGGAGATGGAATCATCAGATGGGGTGCAGGGTGTAGTTTTAGCAATGGAGGCGAGAAGGACCAAGCAGCTTCTGGGGAGAAGTGATGGATTGGTGATATTAGTGGGGGGACTAGGGTTTGGTGATGGGGTTTGTCATGGATCTCTGGAGATTAAGTTATCTCTTCACAATGACTCCTTCAAGACAATCCCAGGGGACCTGAATCCATGACAACAGCAGGCCTGAGACAGCAAGGTTAAATTTCTCAGAAAGAGGATAGGGGAAAGGAAAGTGCTTAGAGATCTTTTATTTATTTAAACAATAACAACAAAAAATTTTAAAAGAGGTTCTTTTCTTTACTCTCTCTCTCTCTCTCTCTCTTTTTTTTTTTTTTCTGAGACAGAGTCTTACTATGTTGCCCTTGGTAGAGTGCTGTGGCATCATAGCTCATAGCAACCTCCAATTCTTGGGCTTAAGAGATTCTATTGTCTCAGCCTTCCAAGTAGCTTGGACTACAGGTACCTGCCACAATGCCCGGCTATTTTTTTGTAGTTGTCGTTGTTTGGTAGGCCCGGGCGGGGTTCAAACCCGCCAGCCCTGGTGTATGTGGCTGGTGCCCCAGCTGCAGAGCTACAGGCGTTGAGCCGTAAAAGAGGTTCTCTTCTAAGAAACAGGGAAAACTCTTTTCCAGGCCTGATCGCTCTCTCAGAGACCAGCATTTTGGTCTCAAGTGAGGTGGACCCGGCTATTCCAGCTTTAAGTACGTCCAGGTGAGACACTCTTGCCACCCTGTGTTGTTGCTCTGAAAGTCACTCTGGCTGGGGGTAGGGTTGGAGCTGTGCTCCGTTATACCTCCCATAGGTGGAGGGAGTCTGTTACCAAGGCTGTCCTGTCACCCCTCAAGTGCTACAGAGTTGTTGGGGGGGTGCTGCCTCAGGGTCTCTGGCTCCCCTCTGTCCCCACTGTGTGACACCTGGCAGATGGGTAATCTGAGTGAAGCCACAGCCACGGGCAGCAGGGCCTGTCATGGTATGGCACCATGTTGGAGTCATATCAGAAGCCATGCCTTGCAGCCTCGCCCCTGTGGTCTTTCTGGTGCTACACCAGCCCTGAGCTCTAACCAAGCCCTTGCTGCACTGTGGAGTTGTGGGGCTACTCCCCACCGAGGTCCCGCAGGCTGGAGTGGCAGCCAGTTCCCTCACCACACCAGAGCAGGGGAAAGGCTTCTCACTGTGTGCTGGGCTGCACAGTAGCAGGCCATATGCCTAGGGGAAGAGCAGACCAGAGTTCTAGCAGATGTGGACAGCAGGGCTACCAAGTGGTGGACCATGAACCAGAGGTGCTGGTGGAAGCCACAGTCACCCTCACTGCACAGGGAGGGCATCTCCCCTACATGCCCCACCAGGCTGCCATTCTGGGTGAAGTGCTTGCTACATTCTAGGCAGAGGAAGGAGCTCTCACTAAGTGAGCCTTCTTGTGATGGACGAGACTGGAATGGTAGCCTAAATCCCATCCACAGGCGGCATAGAGGCAAAGTGTAGGGCTGATTGCGTGTGTGTCCATTGGTATGCTGCAGCAGGCTAGCACTCATGGGGGAAGCCCTTGTCACAATGGCTGCAGTGACAGGTATGTGCAGCGGGGCTAGGCCAAGTGTGCGCTATGGGAAGAGCTGTGGAAATATAGGTACTGGGTCAGGTGGGCCCCTTAGCTGAAGTATTTTCCACATTTGAGGCGGGGAAAGGGCTCCAGAGCTCAGCTTCTGCATTTGGATACGTGATCTACTCTCGTCTGGGGTAAAGTGAGAGAGATAAAAGGGCAGGAGGTGGGGTGGATGAGTGGTGGGTGGGGTAAGGGGAAGAGAGGCTCCTCCTACATCTCCCCTGCCTTCTGCAGAAAGCCTCCTCTCTTTCCTTCTCCAGCCCAGTCTTACCTCCTGACCACCCTTCTGGCCTATGGCCATCTCCCTGCTTGAGCTACCTACTATTTGGGCTTAAGGAAAGGAGTTGACATGCCATTGAGTGTCATCTCATCTTGAGTCCCTCTCAAGTAAGAGGGACTGGCAAGAGACAGAAGAGGCTGCATGGTCGGTCAGGGCTGGGGAAAACAAGGAGAGAAGCCGGATTAATTCCGTACTCTCCAGCTTCCACAGAGTCTCACTTTATCGACCTCAGTAGTGTGCTGTGGCATCACAGCTCACGGCAACCTCCAGCTCCTGGGCTTAGGTGATTCTCTTGCCTCAGCCTTCCGAGTACCTGGGACTACAGGCATCCACCACAACGCCTGGCTATTTTTTTGTTGCAGTTTGGCTGGGGCCGGGTTCAAACCTGCCATCCTTGGTATATGGGGCCGGAGCCCTACCCACTGAGCCACAGGTGCCAACCCCTGAGTTTCATCTTTTAAAAAAATTTTCAGATTGGGCGGTGCCCGCCACATACGCTGAGGCAGGTAGGTTCAAATCCAGCCCAGGCCAACTAAAACAACAACAACTGCAATAACAACAACAAAAATTGCTGGGTGTTGTGGTGGGTGCCTGTAGTCCCAGCTACTTGGAAGGCTGAGGCAAGAGAATTGCTTGAGCTCAAGAGTTTGAGGTTGCTGTGAGCAGTGACACCATGGCACTCTACCCAAGGTGACAGCTTGAGACGGTCTCAAAAAAAATTTTTTTTTCATATTAATATGAGGGTACAAATGATTAGATTACAATGCTTGCATTTGTTAGGTAAAGTCCCTGTTGTAGTTGTGTCATGCATCCAGGAGGTACATTGTGCCCCTCCCTCCTCCCTAAGTTCCTCCTTCCTCTCCCCTTACCTCAACTTGATTTTTTTTTTTTTTTTTTTTTTAGAGACAGAGTCTTATTTTATCACCCTCAGTAGAGTGTCATGGCATCTCAGCTCACAGCAACCTCTAACTCCTGGGTGTAGGCGATTCTCTTGCCTCAGGCTCCTGAGTAACAGGCACTACAGGGGCCCGCCACAATGCCTGGCTATTTTTTGTTGCAGTTTGGCCGGGGCCAGGTTCGAACCCACCACCCTTGGTGTATGGGGCTGGGACCCTACCCATTGAGCCACAGGCGCTGCCCTTGAATTGAATTTTTCTCTTGTGTGGGCATGTATTAGTTGGTCTACTGGCTTCATATTAGTATTGAGTACATTGGACACTTGCCTTTCTCTTCTTGTGATACTTCCTGAGCTTATGCAGCGCGCTCAGCCTCATGTGCACATCAGAACCACACAGAGGCTTGTGAAAACACAACTGCTGGCCCCATATCCAGAGTTTTCCATATAACAGATTTAGAAGTGAGGGCCCAACAATCTGCATTTTTTAACAAGTTCCCAGGTGACTTCTGCTGCTAGTTTTGGACCCACACTGGGAGAACCACTGGTCTGTTGGGCATGTTCCTTTACTTGTATTATCTCAGTAAAACATCACAGCAACCTGTTATTCTCCTCATTGTACAGATGAGGAAACTGAGGCAAGATCCAGTGACTGGTATGTCACTCAGTTTCTTGATTTGAACCCAGGTATGTCTGACTCCAGTACTGTGTCAACCTTCTGTTCTCTACCCAGCTCCTTTGCATTGTTAACTATTCTGCTACACTCCTACTTCAATGAAATAGTAAGGTTCTGGGTAACCGTGCCAAGATGTGGTTCAAGATTCTCCCTGGGCTTGCTGTCATGGGCTTGTGCTTGGTCATCCCTGGAGTGCCCGCTGCTTACATTCACAAGTTCACAAACGGTGTGAAGGAAAAGAGAGTTGCCCATTATATATATCATTGGCAATTGATGGAGAGAGACAGGTGCATCTTTGGAGTTAATTGCTACTATGTGTCAAGAGGTTTGTAGAACATTGATAAAAGAAGCATTTTCCTGATGGAAGAAAAAAATAACTCAGTAATGGTCATCTACCCCTGCTAGAAGGTTATACAGCGTCCTATGTAGCATGCAGTGTGTTATATAATAATTAATAAAAATAAAATACAAAAGAAAAAAATAAACTTCTCTTTTGTATACTTTGTATCTCTCATTTTGCCCAGTAATGCAGACTTGACTGAGAGGGACTGAAGGATTTGAAGGAAATACCCCAGTGGAGAGTGGGAAGGAATTGGAGCCCATCCCACCTCGAGACTCAGATACTTCCATTTTTTCAGCACTGGGGAAAGGGGATGCCTGGTCAGGCTGGAGTCGTTATTTTTTCTTGAGGGGTGGGTAGGGGAGACATAATACCCAGGGCAATGGGTTCCTGTATGTCTTCCAAGTGGCGTGATCTAAATAAACAGCCATGTCTGAGAAGTTCAGTTAGGAGGAGTGGGTGGCGAGAGCACTCTCAGCAGAGAGGGGGCATGAGGCAAAATGCGGCAAGTGGAGAGCAGGGGAGGGCTCGCGAAGGTGGCCCCTGCGGAGTTGAGAGAGCGACCAGGGAGGCAGCAGGCTGTTTCAGAGGGAAGTAAGAGGGACTGGCAAGAGACAGAAGAGGCTGCAAGGTCGGTCAGGGCTGGGGAAAACAAGGAGAGAAGCCAGATTAATTCCGTACTCTCCAGCTTCCACCTGGGTGCCTCACCCGACACCTCCCCATCTGCTTCTCTGCTTTGAAGGCCCAGGGGCAACGCCCACCTGCCTTCTGCCCCAACCTCCCAGGAGCATCGCAACCCCTGGACAGTTGGAATCCCAGAGGAGTCAGGAACATGGATTCTAGAGAGGCGAGTGTAGAAAGGGTTCCTGTAAGGGTAGGTTTTGTCTACTTCAGCAGGCCAGGGGTCTCCGGGGCCGAGCGCCAACCAGATCACCAGGTTTGCAGTACTTGCTGGGGCTGGATCATGCCTGCCTGCATCTGTGGTATTGACGGTACCAGGGACAAGGTGAACAAGCGAGAAATCCCAAGGGTGGAGTAGGGTGCCCTGGGGTTGGCTGCCTAGTGTGCGGAACCGTGAGGGCCTAACGGGCTTTACCTGCGCTGCTGGCTCCTTTGCCCCAGAGAGAACTTAGCGAGGGGGTAGGAATTTGAAACCGCTGAGGGTGAGGGCGACAAGGGCAGCGGAAACAGGAAGTGAGAGGCAAAGAAGCTTCGGGTGGAAGGTAGCGTCGGGTCCCACCTGGAGAAGCAATTTGTCTTCCCTTAGCCCTTGCACAGCTCTGGACAGAGTGCAGTCGTGCGTTCTGTGCCCAAGTCTGGAACTTGAATCCCAGCAACCCCACTGCTCTGCTTTCACTCGCTGCCTGGACCGGCGTAGAACCGCAATTCCCGGGTGGCCCTCCCTTCTCTCGGCCCAGCCAGCGGGCACAGGCTGCAAGCTCCCGGGGAGGAGCCCTTTCTGCCCTTCTTTGAGTGGCAGCCCAGGAGCGACCTTCTCCCTCCCCTCTCCACTCTTCTTCTCAAAGTGATGAGGAATTATTTCTCTACTGATCATCACCGTCCTGTCCATGTCTACAAATATGCCCTTGTCTGTTGAACAACTTTCCTCCTTTCTCTTTGGCATTGAAACCATGGATCTCAGGCTGGGCGATTCAGATTTTAAGGGCCAAGTTTGGGATCTGACTTCACACCTCTGTTCTTCCATCCTCTCTCCCAGCTTCACAGATCCTATTCTCCTATATATGTTCTAATTTGAAGGTTCTGAAAGAACATAGTGAATAACTTCATACATTTTTCTCCCCATTTCCAAGGCTAATCCCCCATGACGTCTAGGCCCCCCTCCTCAATCTTTTTTTTTTCTTCTAATACACCCCTAATAAACAGAGACACAGAACTGCAGGTTTCAAAGAGGAAAAAAAGCACATTTGTTGTTGGTAGGAGTGAAGGGGTGGGCTCTTCACCGTCCCCAACACCGTGTATAGATGGGAGGTTGGGGAGGGGGCAATAGAAAAGGCAGCAGATGGAGGTGTATGCTCCACTCTGTACAATATAGAAGAATCTGATATAGATACTTTGTATAAAAGCCACTTGTTCTCATTTGTGTCCTCTTGCTGGCTGGCAGGGCTGGGGGGCAGTGGGGAACAAAAAAGCTGGGATGATGGGGCAGGATACAGGGACATCCCATGGTCCCATCCTCTGGTTGTCCCCTTCTGGGGTCACTTTGGATCCTTGGTGGGGGCATAGCAGAGCTCCAGGGGCCTTGACACCTTCCAGAACTTCTCATTCACCAACTCCAGGGTCAGCGAGCCATTCAGCGTCTAGGGAGAGGGTAAAAGGGAAAGGAAGGGGGAAGAGAGAAGAAAGTTGGAGAAGATAGAAAAAGAAATGAACAAATGAAAGAAAAGACAAAAGGTGACCAAGGGAAAGGGGAATGAAAAGGGAATAATAAAAGGGATGGGGCAAAGTAGGAGCACATGGAGTGATGGGAGAGGAGAGGAGGGAAAGGAGGAGATGGAGAATGCAGAAGGAGAGAGGACAGCCCATGAGTTCAAAGGTTGGGGTCCAGGTTTGTGCAGTCCCAGGCTGCCCTTCCTTCCTTTCCCTGCTTATACCACTGTGTTCAGAGGCTCTCACCGTGAATGCTCCACCTCCAGGTGCGATGTAGATGGTGTACTGCTTTTCACTGACACCCTCCAGGCTTGGCAAAGCAGGTTCCTCAGGACCATCACCTCCTCCGGCACCTCCACCCTCCCCACCACCCCCATCAGGTCCCCCAGTGTCAGAGGCACCCCCGCCAGGCCCTCCTGGCTCTCCTGCTTCTTGCTGCTGCCGCCGCTCAAGGGCAATGCGGAGGGCTAAGTACTTGGAGAGATGGTCTACTGTGGCATTCCCAGTCGTCTTCACATACCTGGAGTGGGAGGGAGGGCAGATTTAGAGTACCGGAAGCCTCAAGGGAAGGGAAGTAGGGACTGTCCCAAAGGACCTCTGGGTTAGGGCTTATTTTTGGGTTTGGGAAAAGCCCACTTCTGAGAGAAATCTCTGAGATCTTTGGTTTCTCAGTGGTCTGGGGAAACACGGGGCTCCTCACCTAGTCTGGCAGTATTCTCCCTTCTCCACGAGCAGGGGGTGAGGCCGGAACACGAGCTCAATTTCTCCACCTGGCTCTGGGGGACTGGGGGCCCCAGGAGGGCTTGGGGGGCCCAGGGTTCCCCCTCCCAGGGTCCCTCCCCGGTCACCAGAGTCTTCAGAACCAGCGCCCCCACCCACTCCACCAGTGCCACCTCCTCCTGTCCCTATACTGCTCCCCCCTGCACCCCCTCCACGAGGTCGTTTGGGAGCAGGGCCTGGAGCAGAATCAGGGGCAGAGTCTGAGCTCACATCCTCTCCATCCCCCTCTCCCTCCCCAGCCTCTCCCTCCCCCCCACTCATCGTTGTGGTCTGATCTGACCCAGGCATCGGCCGCCTCACACGCTGGGCCCTGTAAAAGCAAGTGGTTAAGGTTAGAAAGCATTAGGGATAAGGGACTTAGACTTTAAGCTTCAGAGAATTAAGAGATCAGAGAAATCCTAATGATAATACCTAGCATTTATTAAACATTAACTATGTGCAAAGCACTCTGTTAAGTGTTTTGCCCCAATCCCCTCACCTAAACCAACAACTCCAATAATGTAGGTAATTATTTTTATTTTATGGCTGAGGAAACTGAGGCTTAGAGAGGTTAAGTAACTTGTTTGAGATCATAGGGCCTCTATTGTCAAAGTGTGATCCAAGAACTATTAGATCCTGGGAGTTTGTGAAATGCAAACTCTTGGATCCAGCTCTAGACCTACTGAATCTGAGTTTGCATTTTTAAGAAGACCAACAGGTAATTTGGATACATATTAAAGACTGAGAAATGCTTGCCCAGGAAATGTTATAATCCCCAGTGGTATGAATCCAGAGCTTATTCTCAAAATTGCTCTACTGTTCTAACTTCTAGAAAGTCAGGGGATTTTTTTTTCTTTAGAATAGCAGTGCCCATTGCTTACAAACAAGCTGCAATTTACATCCATGATATCCAAGCCTAATGATCAAGATGTAGTAAGCTCCTAGGATGCTGAGGCTTTGCTGTTGGCAAGCAGCAAAGACAGTATGAGGAATCTGACCCAAAGACCAGTCCCACTAGTCCTGTTTCAACCTCTCTCCTGACCCCTGCACCTGTGCATGGCCTGCATGCGCAGCCCCTCCTCGATGCTGGAGCTCAATGCCTGCTGGTTGTGCAGGCGGCTGAGGCGGATGAGCACTCGGTCCTGATGGGCTTCATATTCTTCCCGGCTAGGATAGATCTTAGAGATCAGGGCATCAAAATTGGGGTCTGGCCGTAGGGATCGCTTGGATACCAGCTTCTTACGACAGGTAGGGCACTCCTTGTTCCTGGGGTAGGAGAAAGGAAGTTCTCAGCTGTCAGTCTAGGGAAGTGAAGCGTAGGCTGAACCAAGACCAGAGAGAAGGCCCCAGAAGTCAGTTACCCGCTCCGCAGGGCTGTGACAATGCAGTCAGAGCAGAATCGGTGGAGGCACTCCTTGGTGGTCATTGTATTCTTCAGCATGTCCAGGCAGATAGGGCACATGAGTTCTGAATGCAGCGACCGAGGGGAAACTGCAATCTCCGTGCCATCCATGATGGCTTCCTGGAGGTACCAGTGAGTGGGAAGGTAGTATAGGGTGGGAGAAAAGGAGTTTTAAAAAGAAGCAGTCTATGAAATAAGTGTTTTGTGAAATAGAGTGAGATGGCAGAATGTGGGTACCCATGTTGGCCACTAGAGAAGATGGGAATTCAAAGAAAGAGGAGGGGATATTAACTTGGAGAGAATGGAGAACAGAAAGGGTTAGGGTCCATGAACTAAGAGTAGCTTTGGAATAGGAAGACCTGAGGTTTGGTGAGAGGCCTAGAGATGGAGACAGATTTGTGATTTTAAGATCTGTCAACAGAATTTCTTAAAGTGTGGTCCTGGTACTACTTATATCAGAATCCCCTAAGGTGCCTGTTCAGAATAACATATTTTGAAGCTCCATCTAGCTAGTGAATCAAAATGTGAAGGGGTATGAAGCTCTATTTTTAATGAACTCCCAAGTTGAGTCTTATATGCAGTGATGACCTACGACATTGAACTGAAGAATAGGAAAGGTAATTTCTGTGTCTGTTTATTATCTTTCAAATGAAAATAGTAATATTTGCTCTACTTCTCTGGCAGGGTTGTTTTGAGGATTGAGATAAAATAAGTTAAATGTGAAAATGCTTTGAAAAGATTAAGCCGATTCAAAGGTAGGGACAGAGAGTCTGCAATCAAGCTGGGCTTCACAGAGTAAAGAATGAAAAAGAGGTTGTGTGATGTGGTCTGTCGATTTAGGGGTTTGGGGGAGGGGGTGAGCTGGGAAGGGAGAATCTCTGTCACCTGCGGGGTCCGATGCAGCTCATACAGACTCAGTTCCCACGTTTTGCTGGCATTCTGGGCATTCGCCGGCGTCGTCATGGTGACCAGGCACAGACACCCACCAGGACTCCGCAGCAGTGGAGTAGAGGAAGGCTGGGGAGGTGGGGAAGGGAGGGTGTTAGGGGGGCCGACCATCGCGCAGACCCCGCCCCTCCAGAAGCGCTCCTCTCCGCCCCCCGCCGCGCGCCGGCTCCATCCCTCACCCGGCTCTGGCAGTCCGCGCTCCCGCAGCGGCCGCGCCTCTCTCGAGGCCCGGGCTCCTGGGCCGAGTTCGCTTGGTCCGCAGCTGGTGTTCAGACAGCAGCTCCCGCCGCCGCCGCCGCCGCCGCCATGGCCCCGGCGCTGGGGCCCTACGTCACTTCCGTCTGCCCCTCCACTCCACCCCCCCGCTGGCGGAGACGTCATCCGCCACTAGCAGAGCCGGTGGGAAGGGACGTGGATGCGGGGCTTCCCCCACTCACGAGATGCGCCAGTCCCGCGTGAAGAGCCGACGTCCAGGGAGTCCCGAGCTACGTGGGGACCACGGTCTCCGCCTCTGGCCCAGAACCGTCGCGCGGCCAACAACTTTGGCCACCGTTCACTGCCCGATGTGGGGCCTCTGTTTCGGGGGCGGGGCCTGGGAATCTCTCGGACCCCAGGAGAGGACTGAGGGTTTGGAGAAAGGGGCCACCTCCCTGACTCTGGCGGCCCTGGGTATCACCCCTCCACCCTTCCCCATTGCTCAACACACACAACTTCGAAACCCTAGCCAGGATCCCCGGGGAAAAAGCTGGGAAAGATCCTCTGCCGCCTTAGCCCTACTGTCCTGTGAACGCAACCAGATCCAGATATACCCAGGATTCCCCTTATGACTCTGGAGACTTGCTCCACCTTCTGCTTTGGGTTTCTCTAGAGACCCTTCCGACCCGCTCTCCCCCTCGAGGTTTGGGGGCGGCGGCTCTGGACGTCCAGACTCAACTCTCGGCCGGAGCCAAAGACTCGAGAATTGCGTTTGGACAATCAAGAGCCACGGCCCGGGGCGCCAGAGGGAGGCGCACGGGAGGGACGAAGGAATAGAGAGAGACATCACGCGGAAGCAGAGACACACAGATGGGGCCCCCATGGGGTGGGTGTGCACATATAGGTGGGGGACACAGGGGCTGAATGTTTGGAGTGGGAAGTGGACAGAAGCCTCTTCCAGGACTCTCGAGTAAAGGAAGGGGAAAGGGAGGAAAGAGAAGAGGAAGGGGCAGAACGAACCTCTTTGAGAGCAGGGAATGGGGTGGGGTGGGGTGGGAGAAGAGTCCGTGACGGGAGTCCTGTCCCCGCTAGTCCGAATTGGGGCTCCCGGACTTGGGCTGGGGCTGCCAGGGGGTGGCCTGTCTCTGGAACAAGGCAGCCATGGATCCCTTTGCCCCCCAACCCAGTTCCCCCCTACTTCCCTGTCCTCTCCTTCAGTCCGTGGCCAGTCCTTATGTGGGCGCCAGAGTCGATTAGTACAGACCCCCTCCCTTTTCTCCTCCTCCTCCCAACCCCCTCCTTTCTGCTCTCCTCCAGCCCCTTTCATCGGCTGGCTCATTCCCCTAATCCTGGCCCCCTCCCCTAATCCCCCCCCATCGACCCCAGGCTGGCTGCAGCTATTGTAAGGTGGAGAGAAAGGGGAGGGGGACTCAAAGAAAAGAGAGGGGTGGGGGAGGGCCACCTGTTCCAAGACCCCCTCTTAAGGCCAAACTGGACACCAGGATGGGGCTATGAACAGATCATCTTTGGGGACCATAAGGACCCAGGGAGTTGGGGGGTGAGGAGTGGTGATGCAGGACCAGTGGAAAGGGGTGATGCAGAAACCCCTCTCTCCAAAAAGACCCAGAGTGTCACGAATACACAGTGACGTACACTTTCCTCTCACACCCGGCGGCGGGGGTTGCCCTGGGAGACCAGGCAGTGAAAGGGAACAATCCTTCGGGAAAGGGAAAGGAGGGGGAGGTGGGGAAGGGTCTGAGAGCTTGGACACAAGAAGAACCGGAGGTGGCAGGGAAGAGGATTTGGAATTTATTAGCGTCACAAGCACCCCTGCCTCCCATATTCAGCATTCCTGAGCCATACACTGCCACCCCTTTTGTAGCCTGGGAACTTAGAGTCCTTATCAGCAGGAGACCGGGCAGAGTGCTGGGGGAGTAAGCAGAATCCAGGGTCCTCAGGGCAGTTACATGAAAAGACCTCCTGGAAGGGGCAGAAACATTTGGACAGATGCATGGGTGGAGAGACAAATGGGCGGGGTGGGGGTGGGGAGCCCATTTCTGTTCCTGGTCTCAGGAGTCTCTGCCCTTCCCACAGGGTCTCTGTCTCCAGTCTCCCCTCTCTTGCTTTCTCAAATAGTATGGGTTCTAGTTCTTTGCCCTTTCTTTTCCCATGTTGCCCTCATACCAGTGACTTCCACTGAGGCCCCTGTGATGTATCCACTGTCTTCAGATGCCAGGAATGTGACTACATCGGCCACGTCTGTGGAAATTGAGAGGAGAGGGCAGAATCCTACTCACTCCCATAGACCCAAAGTAGCCATCATCTCCCACCAAAGACACTCCCTCCCCAAACACACACATACCCCAATCACCAGTCTTCTCAAAAATACCACAAACCTTAAGATCCCTTCATTCATGACCCCTCCCCACTCAGTGCTCACCCTGAGGGTCCCCCAAGTGTCCCATCGGGATCATTCTGGTCACCTGTAAGGGAACACTCATATATGAGTGTAAGTTACTCTTTTGTTGTTGTTGTTGCAGTTTTTGGCCCGGGCTGGGTTTGAACCCACCACCTTCGGCATATGGGGCCAGGGCCCTACTCCTTTGAGCCACAGGCACTGCCCCAGGATGTAAGTTACTTTTATGGAGTTTTTGAAAACCTTATCTGGGACCTTTTTCTTTTGTCTTCATGCCTTATACATTTATTGAGTATCTACTGTTTGCCAGGCACCGTGACTAGCATTCTCTCTCTGAAGCCCAAAGAACTTGGGTTTCTGAATGATTCCACCTTGCAGCCACAGCCTCCTACCTTGTCCAGCACTTTCTGTGGCACTTTCTGTGTCATGGGTGTTGCAATGAACCCTGGGAGGATAGAATTACAGCGGATCCCATGTCTGTGGGAAGAAGAGTGGCTGCTCTGGAAAGGACCAAACACTGACCCCTCCCTCAGACTCTCACATGCCTTAGCAAAGCTCCCCAGCACCCTCAAACATATGACCCACCGTGCAAGCTCCCGGGCTGCAGTCTGGGTCAGCCCAATTACTCCAGCCTTGGATGCAGCATAGTTTGTCTGCCCCATGTTCCCCACCTATAGGTGAGTCAGAGACCTGGGATGAATCAGGATTTTCAAGCAGAGGCTCTCCTCTGTATGCTCACTTGGCTGGTGACCTCATCCCCTCAACCTGACCTTTCCTACGATGCTACTGATGTTGATGATGGAACCATGACAACCACTGGACACCAGGGCTTGCGCTGCCGCCTGAGTGACTAGGAAGATGCCCTGGCAGGAATGGGTAACAAGACAGAAAAGATCAGCTGAGGTGACAGCCCTCCAACTCCCTCCCCCGGCTAGGGGGTACTGGAAGTTGCAGAGGTCACCACCTTGAGGTTGACAGCTATGACTTTGTCCCAGTCATCCTCTGTCATGTGGAGCAGAAACTCATCCCGGGTGATGCCCGCACAGGACACAACGACAGATGGCGGTCGAGAGAAGCAGGCCTATAGGAGGGGAGGTTACATACCAAAAAACCCACAAAGAGCTGGGTGCAGTGGACGTAACATAGCTTTAAAGAGGGCAAGGTCGCCTGGCGTTCACCTGCACTTGTTTCAGCAGGCGCCTGGGGGTCCCGGCCTCAGACACATCAGCCTGGAAGGCAGCGTGGTTCCCTCCGGGCGCCCCCTCCTTGCTCCCTGGCCCGCCTAGCAGCCGCACCGTCTCCTGTGCCGCTGCCCCGTCCAGGTCACAGGCGGCCACGGCGGCCCCCTCTCTGGCCAGGCGCAAACTGACCGCCCGGCCGATGCCGCTACCCGCACCTGAGTTAGGAGAGAACACGAGGGGTGGGACTAGGTAGGGGTCAGGGGTCAAAGAGTTAGTACAACTTGGATAAGGGGCCAGAGGTCACAGCGGCGGTGGAGTCCGAGGGCGCGTCCACTGACATCACTCTGGCACCCCAACCCGCCTTGGGAAAGCACCCCCTCAACCTGTGACCAGGGCCAGCGCGGAGCGGAGCCTGAGCGGGAGCTGAGTCGCCATAGCGTGTTGCGGGAAGGCGGGCACCTCTGCATCGAGCCAATCCGAGTGCAGAGAGGGCGAGGCGAAGGCAAAGCCAGGGCCAATCGAAGCCCTGCTAGCCTTCGGCGGTCCGCGGTCACCAACGCAGGCCAACCTCGCACCGCAGGGGCGTGGCCAGACATTAGAGTTTGGGGGGCCAGGGAGTGGAAAGACAGCCCCTCCCCCGCCAAAGAAAACAAAGACTGCATGTGGGGCAGAAGATCCGAGGACTTTATTTCTGGTCACCGCCCCTTCCCCTCGATTCAAACACAGTGATATAAAAAGAATAGAACAAACAACAACAAAGAAAAATCAGGCCGTGAAATTACCAACTAACCCTCTTCCCATCCCTCCAATCATTCCCAAATCAGGACACACGATTGATGTTTAATAGATGTTTATCCCCAACTCCTCCTGTTGCCCTCTCTGTCTAGGGCTCTGGTCTTCCGAGGCTCCACAACTGGTGGAAGAAGATGAAGGTGGACCTTGGAGAACTCTCTGTGTAAGCAGCTTGGTCCTCAGAGAACAGAGTAGGGGATCCCAGGTAGGCTGCCATCACCCCTCTCCCAGCTTTCTTCATGGCCCCATTTAGCCCTCTGAACCAAACAACATGGTCGGGCAGGCAGTGCCTAATACTATGGTCCCTCTGGCTTCTCATTCTTACCTCTACAGCCCCAGTAAGACTGGCAAACCTTGAAGACCCTAAAGCCAAAGTTACCTTTCTCCTAAGTTACAGTTCTTTACTTTGGCAGATATCCCTGGTCAGGGCCTCCAACTTGCACAGACCCCTGATCTGGAGTTAGGGGTAGAGGTTTGGGATGGGGTAGGGGTGGTTCATCCACCTCTCACTCAAGATGGGCAATCAGCACCATCATGATGACTCCTCCCAGCAGCCCCAGCACCTCCAGAAGTGACTGCAATGGTGATGCCTCCCTAAGTAGCTCAGGCAGTACAGACACAGTTGCTACGTAGATAAAGCCACCTGCAGTGAATGGCAGGACCCAACCAGGACCTGTACCACCTGCGACTTCACTGCCTATAGCCCCTCCTTCAGTTAGAAGGGCACAGGCTGTGCCTGCCAGTGCCCCTACTGCTGTCAGTAGTTGTAGACGCATCGCCTGGTGGGCAGAAAAGAGAGAGAGAGAGAGGGGCATTCACCAACAGTTAAAGATTTGTGGTTTAGAAGTGGCTGGTGGGGTAGAGGTATACTGGTGTAGGGTACATGTCTTTGGAAAGGGGGGATTAGATGAGATAATTTCTGAAATATTTTAGAGATCAAAGATGTCCTTTCCTTAGACCTTCTGATGCAGTAGGCCTACATGACTGCTTGTGTGTGTGTGCATGTGTAAGACCCAAATAAAACTATGCAGATGGTTTACAGACCACAGTTTAAGAAATAGCAAGCTTATGGGACAAAGAAAACAGAACTTCCTCTTCGTTTCTAGAGGATTTGTTACCAATGATAGTATAATTTGTTTGAACCAATGAGAGACAGTTTTGGGTTTTGTGTAAGTTAGCAGGAATAAAGGATTTGAGGTAACCAACCTGCTTTTTGCTGCAGCCAGACTGAACCAAGATGGCAAAGTCTCCGACCTCATGGGGCACTTCATGTAGCAGGACAGTCATTGTGGTCAGAATCCCCAACCCCTGGCCCCCTCGAAAGGAAGCACCAATGGCCAGACCATCTGTGAAGTTGTGCGCCAAGTCAGCAGCCAGATTCAGGTACCCGGATACACGCAGGTCTTATACAGGACAAGAAGATAAAATGATCAGAGGCATCCACTACCACCAGTCCCAGTCTTGGCCATTCTCACGTCTCCCCTCAGAGTGCACTTCCCACCTGACTTCTTGGCATTTCCCAGACATTTTTCATTACCCAAGGCTCCTATTTCATGTGATTCAAGATGATGCTCACCACTCTCTTGGCCCTCACCTGAGCCTGTTTTTTCTTCTTCAGGATTCTGAGGTCTCACTGGCCCATCTTTGGGTACTGTGCTCCCTCCTCTCCTCTTCCGCAACCCCCCTGCTTCCTTTTCTTCTTCCTCCGAGCTCTGTTTCTCCTTTGAAGAATGCTCTGAGGGAAGAAAGGAGTTGGTGAGAATGGGAAAGAGATCTTCTGACGTTATCTTCTCCCTCTAGAGAGCTGTATAAGGGGATTCTGAGCCAGGCAAGGTGGCTTTCAGAAGAGTTTTGTTTTTGGCTCACCCTGTCTTCCATGTCCATGACTTCCACGAGTGTGACCATGAGCATGTCCATGACTGTGTCCGTGTCCTCCTTTCACATGCCTCACAAATTTCTCCACCACAAGAAAGGCGACAATTCCACTGAGAACCCATAGTCCCACAGATAGAATGGGGCCCTGGCCTGGAAATGGAGCCAATGAGACATTAAAGGAGATGTAGATTCCAGACTCCTCCTCAAGTGTAGGAGGTAAAGAATAGGAAGAGAAAGCACCCCAACTCCTGTTCCCATCTGTGTCTTTCTCACCACTGTGGGAATGACCATGTCCGGGCTGCTCCAGAGTGTGGTGAGAATGAGGTTCTGGAAAAAGGGAGGAAAAAAACAGATCAGGGAATATCTGTCCTATGGGGTGTATATTTGGGGGAGTATTGGAAGGTCAAGGATTACAAAGGAGAAACATCCCTTTTTCCCCCAAAGAATAAAGTAGGTTAAGATTTGTGTAGAAATAAGAGGTTGCTTACCCAGAGCATGAGGGATGAGGTGCAGGAAGGCATCTCCTAGGAGCCCACCAGAAGCAAAACTAAGCAAGATCTGGAGCAGAGATCGGTGCCTTGGGGAGTTTGACTCCACAGGGATTAGAAAGAGGACAAAAAATGGAGCTGCAGAGATCAGCACTGTGGCCCCCAGTGCCTAGTGAGGGAGAGTCAGGGGTCAAATAGTATGCAGTTTTCCAACAATCCAGAACAAGCTCCTCTCTCCCCCATCCCCTGGAGACTCACATAGGACCAGAGAGTGATAGCGTCCAGGTCCTGCTTCACACGTGGAGCCCCAGACTCCCCATAGCCTCCATGGCTATGGTCATGGTCATGTCCATGTTTTTGGTAATAGATTCTTTCATTGGCGTGGCCATGGCTATGGCCATGGTGCAAATCCTCATATGAATGTTCATGGTCGTGACCGTGGGTAGGCCCATGCCAGATGCTCTCATGGGTGTGGCCATGGCCATGAGCATGGCTGTGTCCATGGTGGAAATCCTGATGTGAGTGCCTGTGGCTATGGTCATGGAAGTCCTCTTGCAGGTCCTCGTGCGGGTCGCCATGACCCCCGTGTCCGGCCACCAGCAGCCCCAAGGCTGCCCAGGTCAGCAGTCCCACGGCCACCCAGTGGGGGCCCCCCAGGCCTCTGGCCATCACGCTGACCAGAGGGACAGAGACAGTGATTCCATTTGACCCTTAAATCTATACCTATGCAGGGTCCGCTTTATTCCAATCGCGCCCTCCGTCCATCTCTACGGGCCGTACCCCCATTCCATTATATTCCCACCCACGTTGTTCCCAAGACTTGTTTTCTTTATCCCAGACCCACTCCCAGATGTTGGGCCCCTGGAACACCACTTTAGGCTTTGACCCGCCACTTTAGGGGCTTTCTGGGCCCTGAATCTATGACCTATTAGGTGGGGAAAAGGCCTGGAAAAGAACATAAGGAAAACAGGGAATTCTCACCGGCTCCGGGATCCAGTCCTTTCCCGGTTTGCTCGGACGTGGCAGTCCCGCCTTAAGCTCCCGCGAGAACAGGAAGTGCGGTTCTACCTTGGCCCGGATACCTTTACCAATATGGCGGCACTACGGTAGCCGCAAAGCCACCAAGCCCTGGTGCGCGTGCGCAAGCGTGGAGGTTATTTGAGGGGAGGGTGGGCGAGGCGGGCTAACAGGCCTAAGGAGACCGCCTCCTCCGTTTCCAACTAGACGAGGGGGTGGGAACTAGCGCAGAGACTTCCCGTTTGTACAAAGATGGCTGCCACATCGGCGCTGTCATTTTGGTACAGAGCTGAGTGAAGAGCTTAATTCGACCCGATCCAGGCCAGATTCTTTTTCTCAGGGGCTTCCTCGTGCTCAGCTAGTCCTCCGACCAATACTTGGGAATCCCTTGCACCTCTTCGGTACCCCTACACTCAGCCAGGGATCATGTCTTGGGCCGCTCGCCCGCCCTTCCTCCCCCAGCGGCATGCCGCAGGGCAGTGTGGGCCGGTGGGGGTGCGAAAAGAAATGCATTGTGGGGTCGCGTCCCGGTGGCGGCGGCGACGGCCCTGGCTGGATCCCGCAGCGGCGGCGGCGGCGGCGGCAGCAGCCGGAGAACAACAAACCCCGGAGCCGGAGCCGGGGGAGGCTGGACGGGACGGGATGGGCGACAGCGGGCGGGGTGAGTGTCCTAGCAGACGGGCAGGCAAGCCGCTGACCGGGTTATCTGCAACCCCTCCCCCCCGCACCCTCCCCTGGTGTTCTTTCCTTGGCGCTCCCGCCCCCTTGTTTGTAAACACGCGTTGCCTCCCTCCCGAGGGCTTTAGCGCCCTCCTCCCTGGGGCGGGGCGGGGAGGGGGAGCTTCCGTCCTACTAACCCAGGCCTCTTGAGGCCCTGTGGCCACCACAGGTCCTGGGCACGGAAAGGACACGATTCCCCTTGAGTTTGACTACTTTGGACCTTTGAAGGCACATCCTGCGTCCTAGGAGGGGTCTCGTCCTCTTATCTCTTTCCCCTGCACTTTCGGGCTGCCTGGCTATATTCTGGGAATGGAGGAGTTGAATGGTCCTGCCCACGTGCTGCCCCACCCACGAAACGCGTCTAACTTGGGATGACCTGGCGTTCATTCAGATGCATTGCCGGAAATTTTCCTTACCCGAACTATCCTCTCCTTTGTTAGTCTCCACGTCTTAGCTCTATTAGGAATTATGCTGTTTTTTTGACAGCAAGGTTTCTCTAGCTTTGGAGATGGGTGGGTGGGGAGGGCTGGGCAGGGGCAGGGTGGGGGATTAGAGAATTAAAATCTCCAGTTGGATGATCAAAGACTCATTTTCTCTTTTTGTCTCTCCTGTCTCTGTGTGTCTCTGTGCCTGTTTGTACCCCTCTCTCAGACTCTCGAAGTCCAGACAGCTCCTCCCCAAATCCCCTTCCCCAGGGGATCCGTCCCCCTTCTCCTGGGCCACCTCTACCTCTTTCAGCAGCCTCATCCCTTGGAGGCTCAGGGGCCCCACCCCCACCCCCTATGCCACCACCCCCACTGGGCTCCCCATTTCCAGTCATCAGTTCTTCCATGGGGTCCCCTGGTCTACCCCCTCCAGCTCCCCCAGGATTCTCCGGTCCTGTCAGCAGCCCCCAGGTGAGAGGTTGTGACCCACTTACTACCTCTCCACTTTCATTTCCTTGTTTTCCTTGTAACCCAGATCTTTGTGTGAACTTACCCATGGCCCACTGACTTTCCAGTCCTCTAATCTTGGCAGGGCTCAGGGCTGTGGTCCTTGTAAGACCCCTTGCCCTTCCTGAGGTGACTGATCTTTCAGTGCATGCTTCTTCCCAATCCTATAAAAGAACACCAATATTCTTGATGTCCTTTTCATCTATTGGTGATTTTCTGCCCTTTTGGTCCTTTCTGCTCTTCTGAGACACATGCCTTTCAGGGCCACTGTGTTGCAGAGTTTCAGGGGGAAACTGTTTATATCTGTTTTCTTTGGGGTTGTGTTCTGGGTATGGCCCTTCATATAGACTGTAGTGTAAATAATTCCCTCTGGAATGTGCAATGCGGGGCCCTGCCTAGTGGTAAGGGTATGATTTCTGTCACTTCTGTGAGATTCTCCCTCCCAATGAGTCTTCCTGTGACTTCCCTATTTCCCCCATCCCAGATTAACTCAACAGTGTCGCTCCCTGGGGGTGGGTCTGGCCCCCCTGAAGATGTGAAGCCACCTGTCTTAGGGGTCCGGGGCCTGCACTGTCCACCCCCTCCAGGTGGCCCTGGGGCTGGCAAACGGCTTTGTGCAATCTGCGGGGACAGAAGCTCAGGTATGGGGCTCAGAGGCTCAGCAGAGAGGAAGAAAAAAAGTCTGGGACATTTACCATCATCTGTGTGATTACTAGGGCCTTAATGGGGTTGAGTTAGAGCAAGTTACCTGGCAGAGACCTGAAGAGAATAAGGAACCTGAGGCTTATATGTGGGATGGGGTGGGGAGTCGAGCAGAGGGGAAAGGTCTGTACACTGAGGAAAGGGGACTGGTTCATTCCTCACTTACTGGCTCCCCATCTCTGTATTTGACAAACATGGGGAAGACTAAAGTTTTGCTTGGGGAAGATTGGCAAGAGACTTAATGGTGAAGGGATCTCCAGGCAATTTTCTTAATTCTCTTCTTCTCCTTGTTTAGGCAAACACTACGGGGTTTACAGCTGTGAGGGCTGCAAGGGCTTCTTTAAACGCACCATCCGTAAAGACCTTACATACTCTTGCCGGGACAACAAAGACTGCACAGTGGACAAGCGCCAGCGAAACCGCTGTCAGTACTGCCGCTATCAGAAGTGCCTGGCCACAGGCATGAAGAGGGAGGGTAAGGACCTCTCTGCCCAGGCTTCCTAGACACAGGCCCTTTCTCTCCCACCCCACTCATTGAGAGAGGGATGAGGAGAGAAAGGGAAGACGGAAGGAAATCACATATTCTGTATCTTTCTGGAAGGCAAACTGTTCTTTCTCCCCTCTAGAGGGCGATATTGGACCTCTGTCTCCTTCCTCCTCATCAGCCTTTCTCCTGGTACCCTGCTCTGGCCCTTGAGTTTCCTTAGTAGTGGTTCTGCCTGTGTGGCCTGTACCTGTGACCCCTCCCCAGTCTGGTCCTAGGGTAGGATAACTTTTCCTCACCCATAATGGGATTTTTCGTCTCCTTCTCTAATCTGGTTAGTCCCTCCTTTCCTTGGTGCCATGTACCTCCTCTGATCTCTAGTAAATTATCTGTGATCTTTCCTTTGACTCCTGGGACTCTACACTTTACAAGCTGTAGACTTGACTGAAGATCTCAGAGTTTTCCTTACCTCTTCTTAATTTCCATCTTGTCTTCTTAAGCTGATTCCTAAAGTTCTAAGAGAGACACTTTAGATTATGTTGGTGAAATCCTTCAATTTAGAGATGATGCGCCTGAGTCCTGGCTCTCCCAAGATTATGCACAAAAGAGTGGCAGGGCTGGGAATAGAACACATACCTCTGAAGACCCAGATCAGTGCTTGTTTCACTGCCTGTTTCATTGAGTCAGAAGAACATATAAGATATAGTCAGGCATATGCAGATACATTTGTATGACATGCCATGTGTTGTGTGAATATCAGCAAAATATTTAATCTTTTTGAGTCCCAAGTTCTTCATCTTTAAAAATGGGAATGAGCTCAAAGTGTTGGGATAATTGAGTGAATGTTAAACCATGCTTAGTATGTCTCTTGGTATGTTTTTTAGCACGTAGTAGGCCTTTATTTAAATTCTTCCCTAATTCTTTTACCCTTTTCTTCCTTTCTTCTTGACTTACTTATCTGCCCTTTTATAACCCCTGCTTCCAGGCTATCTTCCAATTTACTGTTTCTAGTGATTTCCCCAATTCCTATAAATATCGCCCAAGGGCTATGATACCCTGATAAGGTCCTAAGGATATTTGCGGGACCCCTTGATAGCTGGCTGCTGACTTTCCATTTTTTTCTCCCCTTTCTCCCCCGCAGCGGTACAAGAAGAACGTCAGCGGGGAAAGGACAAGGATGCAGATGGGGAGGGGGCTGGGGGAGCCCCTGAGGAGATGCCTGTTGACAGGATTCTGGAGGCAGAGCTTGCTGTGGAGCAGAAGAGCGACCAGGGTGTTGAAAGTCCTGGGGGAACTGGGGGTAGCGGCAGCAGTGTGAGTGATGTGGTCAATCCAATCTTCTTGATGATGGGGGATAGGGGCGGGAATCTAGGTCTGTTCTATATCATCTTCCCCTCCCTTCCCCTCACAACCCTCCTAACAGTGCTTGGGACTGGAAGTGTGGGCAAACAGGTCTTTCAAACATCTGAGATGGGTGTGATAGCTCTTCCATCTCCAATCCTAAAACAACCCACTGGCATAACCATAGGCAAGTCCTAAATATGTAATCATTAACATAAATGTCAGACCGGAAGCCTTACTTACAGGGATTGGTTTAGATGGGGCTTGAGGGAAGACTATATAAAAAAAGGGGGGTGTCAGGGGTGTCGGCTCGGCACCTGCAGCTTAGCAGCTAGGGTGCCAGCCACAAAAACCAGAGCTGGCGGGTTTGAACTCAGCCCAGGCCTACCAAACAACAATGACAACTATGACCAAAAAATAGTTGGGCGTTGTGGCAGGTGCCTGTAGTCCCAGCTGCTTGGAAGGCTGAGACAAGAGAATTGCTTAAGCCCAAGAGTTTGAGGTTGCTATGAGCTTTGACGCCACAGTACCCTCGACTGAGGGTGATATGGTGAAACTTCAAAAAAAGAGAAAAAGAGGGGGTGTCAAGAACTTCTCATAACCTGGGTGTGGTAGCTCATGCCCATAATCCCAGCAGTCTGGGAGACAGAGGCAGGATTGCTTGAGCTCGGGAGTTGGAGACCAGCCTGAGCAAGTGTGAGACCTCCTCTCTAAAAATAGCTGGGCATTGTGGTGGGCACCTGTAATTCCAGCTACTTGGGAGGCTGAGGCATGAGACTCACTTGAACCCCAGAGTTTGAGGTTGCTGTGAGCTATGATGCCATGGCACTCTAGGAAGGGTGACAAAGTGAGACTCTGTCTCTAAAAAAAAAAAAAAAGGAATTTCTCACAAGGGGCTCCCAGTATCCCTCCAAATCTTCCATAACTCTTACCCCTACCCCCCGTCCCTTGCAGCCAAATGACCCCGTGACTAACATCTGTCAGGCTGCTGACAAACAACTATTCACACTTGTTGAGTGGGCGAAGAGGATACCACACTTTTCCTCCTTGCCTCTGGATGACCAGGTCATATTGCTGCGGGCAGGTCAGTGACCTTGGATCTCTTTGACCTCGTGACCTTTAGAGACCCCACTCACCATACCTTGTATACTGAGGGAGCCAAGCTAGCTGACCTCACCACCTCTTATCTTCTCTTCTGATGTGCTTTGAATCATATGGCCTTATCTCTGGCTCCTGACCTTTGCCACCCCACTCAGGCTGGAATGAGCTTCTCATTGCCTCCTTCTCCCACCGATCCATTGATGTTCGAGATGGCATCCTCCTTGCCACAGGTCTTCATGTGCACCGCAACTCAGCCCATTCTGCAGGCGTCGGAGCCATCTTTGATCGGTTAGTGGCCCTCCACTGGGTTGGCATGTTGGTAGAGGGGTGGGGCTATAGGCTGGTCCGTGTCCAAGGCTGGCTGAGCTGTGACCTTTGAGTGACCTGCAGGTCCCTCTCCAGGGTGCTGACAGAGCTAGTGTCCAAAATGCGTGACATGAGGATGGACAAGACAGAGCTTGGCTGCCTGAGGGCAATCATTCTGTTTAATCCAGGTAAGAGGAGGATTACCCTTGTCTTTCAAGGCCAAGGCAACCTTGGAGCCTCCTCTTCTCCAGAGACTCCTAAGTTACCCAGCTATCCCCTCAGTAAGACCCTCAACCTGGAGTCCTCCCAACTGACCAAGGAAAAACCCCCATCCACTGATACATTCCCTTCTGACCCCATCCCCACAAACCCAGTGGGCCCTGCTTCCCTTGCCAGGGATCTGGTAAAAGGCAAGCAGGTGGGGCCCAAAAGAGACATCCTGTGGGCCACTTTTCCATGTCTCTTCTGATTTGATTTGTCTCCTTCCTCTTCCTCCTCTCTTCCCTCCAATTCTAGATGCCAAGGGCCTTTCTAATCCCAGCGAGGTGGAGGTCCTGCGGGAGAAAGTGTATGCATCACTGGAGACCTACTGCAAGCAGAAGTACCCTGAGCAGCAGGGACGGTGAGATGGAGTCATGGGGACTGAGGCTGCCATGGGAGTGGGGAGTGCCATGAGGTTGTGTTTAGGTCCTGTGTGCTTCCTGCTCTCACTCCTCCTCCTACCTCCACCCTAGGTTTGCCAAGTTGCTGCTCCGTCTTCCTGCCCTACGGTCCATCGGCCTTAAATGTCTAGAACATCTGTTTTTTTTCAAGCTCATTGGCGATACCCCCATCGATACCTTCCTCATGGAGATGCTTGAGGCTCCCCATCAGCTGGCCTGAGCCTAGACCCAAACATGGTGCTTCTCACACTTGAGGAGCACATATCCAAGAGGGACTCCAAACCCTGGGGCAGGGTGGGAAGGGCCGTGTTTTCAGAACCTTGGTGGGTTGAGAAGTTCAGGGCAAAACTGAGACCTCCAAGGGAATTCATAAACCTTCCAAGGGGTTTGCTTCATATACCAAGTCAGTGGGGATCCCAGATCCCTGTGAGGACTAGATGTCTCACTTCAGTGGCCTCGAGTCTCTGAATTTGTTGGGGTCTCATGATTGGGAGGGTGATTTGTCACCCACTGTCCTTCATCCAGCACAAAGCACTGGCCCTGCTCCTGGGACCTTGCTTCCTTTTCATTTTGCCTCACTTTGTTCCCTATCTGAAGAATAGAAATGGGGAACTCCCCCAGAGATGGTTATTGGGGGGCAGGCCCCCCAAATTGATGGACATGGGAATAGAGATCTTATAGGCCTCTCTCTTCCCAAACCTGGCAGATAATTGCCTCTGTGGAAGAGGGAAGGCCTTATCACTGTCTCCTGACTAAAGTCCCCTTTTACACTTCACCTCCTGCAGTCAGACTGAAAATAAAAATGGTGGTGGTGGTGAAGGGGTTGGTGGGACATGTAGGAATGATCTATTTTTAATTTCCTCTGAGGATAGAGACTTGCAGTTAGACTCAAAGAAGTACTGTATTTTCCCTGGTTGACTAAGAAATGCCAGTGGTGGAGTGGGTGTTTGGGAGAGGCAGTCCCCTGAGATGGTCCATCTCTAGGGCTCTCCAAGCACCCCCCTTCCCAATTCTCTCCCATCTCTTACTGTCTAACTTGTGGAAGGGGTCTAGGCTGTGATGACAGGGCCTGGCAGGGGATGGATTGTGGAGTGCAGTCCCTAGCCCTTCCCTTCACAGTTCTCCAGCCCTGGGCTCACAGTGTAGGCTGGGGACACATGATCCTGGCCTGAGAATTGAGGGGAGGTGGCCAGCCTGAAGAGATGGGTTATTGGGGCTGCATGATTTTTGCCCTGCGTCTCTTCTCTTTAGGGTTCGTTTCCTCTCTAATTCACACATAAAATCGCTTTCAAATTAAAGTTGTTTTCTGGAGTGAAGTGCCATGGGGATGGGCAGCGCCATCGCCATCGGGTTTGGGGGCGGTATCCGGTTGGGAGCTCTGGACGGTTCCCTTGACACCCGCTGCCGAGGCTCCCTGGGGCCTTAGACGCAGGCGCAGGGTGGGGGACACAAGGCGCGCTTTGTCGGGGAGGGGGAAAGAGGGTGTGCCAGACTGGGGGCGGGGCGGGCCGGAGAAGGAAAGGGGGGAGGCTGATTCTCAAAGGCGCCTTGTTCGCTTGTGCCCTCCCAGCGCCAGCGGGCGGCGGCGCCTCGGCTCGATCCGGCCACACCGCGGGCTCCAGGCAGACCCGGCGCGGTGCCCGGTCGTGGGGGCGCGCTGGGTGCCCCGCGCGGAGGCCTCCACAGGCATTGCTCACCCGGAGGCGCCCTATGTCCCCGAGTGACCCCATTTCCTGAGACCCTTGCTAGGACAATCAACTCTCATCTCACCACTGCTCTTTGCACCTGGGCTCTTTTACCTTAGCCCACATTTTTCTCTCCTTGGACCTGACTAGTCTGTTGGTCCGTCACAGTCCATGGCCTGTCTCTGCCCCTAAGTAGGCTCCTTCTGCTCTGTAGAACTGCCCCTCACCAATTGGTCGCTATCTATAGCCTGGTCTATAAATACCACCCCCCTCCCGCCCCAGGCCCGGTCTGTAATTACGCGGGGCAGGGCGGGACGAGGAAAGTAATTGTGGAGACCTGATTATGGGTGGCGTTGGGGGGCGACCCCCAGACCCGCTTCTCTCCTCACTGTGCCCTCAATCCTGCCACAGATTTTGCTGAAAGGGGGCTCTGGGCCCCTAAAGGGGGAGGGAAAATGGGGTTTGACTGACATTTGCGTCCTAGAAAAGGAAGGGGCTGGGGGAGATATATTGGGGTTCCCGAAAAGAGAATCATAGAGTACAGGCTATTGGGTCCCTGCAAGGAGCAAAGGAAAACAGTCTGAGGGTCTGTGAGGGAGGGAAGGAGAAAGGGAGGGCTCTCACCTCCCTCCCCAGGTGGAGATCGAGGGTGGGGTTTCCCCTCGGGCTGTGGGCGGGCGGCTTGAGACCGGGGGCCGGGCCGGGGGCGGGGGCGAGGTGGGGGCTCTAGGCTGCTGGGGTGGCCGGGGACACACGGGAGCGGCAGTCACCGAGGAGGGAGCAGTGCCGGAGCCCCGACGGTGCCTCGCCACATGGAGCTGGGCCGCTGAAAGCTGTCGTCTCTGATCTCCTTCGGACCCCGGCGTCTGAGGCTCACAACCTGCTGGTCGTCTTCTGTCTGCCTCAGGGCGTCCAGCGCCTCAGGACGACCTGGGTCCTGGGACCCGGCGTTCCGGTAACTCAGCCATGGAGTGGTGCAGCCGCTGCCGTCGCCTCCTCCTGCTCCTACCTCTGGTGCTGGAGCTGAGCGGGGCCCCGGGCTGGGCGGGTAAGAGAAGTCTGGATGCTTGGGTGGTCAGAATTGCTGCAGCTCTGAATATCCCCAGGGAGGGGACAGCTGATACCTAGGGCAGGAGCTTCTCTGAGTCTAAAAAGGGGGCTGTGGGAGTTAAGGGTCCAGACTGGAGGGCAAGACACCTGGGTTCCTTGGAGTGGGAGTAGGGATCTCTCCCTCCTTGAAGTGACTGGGAGAAGGCAGGTAAGGCTGAAAGGTGGAGAACCACTTTAGGGAGCCCTAAACGGGGCTGCATGCTTAGGAAGAGCTAAAGATGGCCAGGGTCAGTCTGGTCCAACTGTTGCTGGTGTAGGGGTGGTAGCAGTCAGTGCTGAAAGGTGAGGTGTGTGTATGTCTTTTGGGCTTTCTATCTCTATCTTTGGAATGAAGGATCCTAGTAGTAAGCCCAGAAAGAAGGGATGCCTCAGTTATCTGTCTTGTTGGCTTCTCTGACAGGGTCCCCGTCCCCCTCCCCCTCCCTGTGCCCTCGATGCTGCCACGCGGCTGGCTCTGGGGAGCACTGGGGCTGGCTGCCAACAGGACGGCCGCTGGACAGGCAGGGATCAGGTGTCTGAGGCCAGAGCCAACTCTTTGCATTCCTGCCCGGCCCCTCCTCCTCTGGCCAGCTAGGCTCTCCTGGGATCGGGGTGTCCACAACCCCAGTCTTTTCCTTCTTTTTCCCAGGACCCAGAATTCCTGGCTCCTAGGAAAGGGGATTTGATGTCAGATAGGAGGGAGTTGGGAACAGTGGGCCCTAGGTAGGTTGGAGCAAGCCCCTACTCCTGGAAACACTGGGGGTTGATTTGTATATAACTTGACAATTCATTTCTTCTCTGCTTTGGAGACAAAATGGTCAGAATGAGGGACTTTACCTAATAAATGCAATCACTGTAACCTCATTCTCTGTACCCTCAATGAATCCTTAAGAAAAAAAAAAAAAGGAAAAGGAAAAGCGGGTGATGCCTGTGGCTCAAAGGAGTAGGGCGCCCGCCCCATATACTGGAGGTGGCGAGTTCAAACACAACCCCCGTCAACACTGCAAAAAGAAAAAAGAAAAGGACAGCATAAAGGATTTAGATTTGATATAGAAGAAAAAACTTCCAAGATGTGAGGAGTGTGAGGCTCAGGGACAGGAAATTGAAGTGTATGGTGTTTGTAGCCTCTAGGAGTCTTTCTTGGGGGTAAAGGGACCTTCTGGTATGGAGGCAAGGGGTTGGCCACTATGACTGTCTCATTTCAGGGCTGAGGGGCTAGAGGTGGGACTCTAGGGAGAAGGGTTACTGGGAATTTCTAAGATCATGGAACAAGGCATTTGGAAGGGCAGAGGTAGAGTGGTGGAGGGTGATGGGCCTACCCATTGGAGAGCTTTGGGGCAAATGAGGCTAGAGACACTGGGTCAAGTATGTGGCTTGATGTGGGAAGATGGTGGGTGGACCTGTGGGTAGGTTGTCTATAGGACTGAATTGTATTCTCCTGGGGCTCGATGGAGGGTGGGGACCTCTGAGGTCTTCTTGACCTGGGATCTCTGTGAGTCTCTGTGTCTCTGTCTCACTCACCCTTGGTCTCTCAAAGCGGCCCTTGTGTGTTGGTGTTTGTGGAGCTGCCACATGCTCAGGGGCCAGGATCAGGTGGGGGGACGGGTGGGGGGAGGCTGTGGTTTCCCGGCTCCTGGACTCAAAGGGCCTTTTCTCTGCCTGTCTGCCTGCCCCACCTCACCCACCCAACCCAGCTCTCCTCTCCTGATTGCTCTGGCTTCTGCACTGCCCCACACTTGTATGAAAGTTTTGCTGGAACTTTTTTTGGGATTTTTCCAATTTGCAGCTGATGGTGTGAGGAGTGTGTGTATTAAGGAGCAAGTGAAAGAGAAATGACCTCTGTCTTCCAGGTAGTTTGAGCCCTAGGAAGCTGAGTTCTAGGTAGACAGGGCTGGTGGCTTGGGTCTTGAAATTTTAGATCCCAGAAGGTGGGAGTGGTGGTGGGGTGGTGAGACAGGATTGAGGTTCCAGGTGTGGGGAGCTTGCCTGGGTTTTGGGCAGGACTCTGATGGGATCCACAGATGTGTGGCTTGGGGCCCTGGACCTGCTCCGGCTCTGCGTGGCAGCTTCAAACTGCACCCCAGGCCAAGCTCATCTCCCAAGCCAGGGGGCATAAACTCCTGGGAAGGCCCTTTCTTGCATCTTCTTCCTCAGTATGTTCTGAGTTGTATTCCCCCCACCCCACTAACCTGGGATCTGTAGCAGCTCAAAGCCCCCTCCCATAGAACTGCCTCCTGCTCTCTCCCTGGTGGCCCCCCTGCACCTCTCATGCCCAGAATAATTGATTGTCCAGATGTTGTTTGTACTGGAGACGGGACAGATGCCAAAGACCCAGAGAATGAGAGATATGGAAAGGGAATGAGAATAAGGGAGAAAGACAGAGAAAGAAAAAGATAGACAGAATGTGAGGAAAGAGGAAGACAAGAGACAGGGAGACAGAAAGACCAACAGAGACAGAGACAAAGAGGGTAAGAGAGTGTGAGGGAAAGGGAGACATGGAGAGTTTAGAGAGAGATTGAGGGAGAATAAAGTCAGAATCAGCTGAAACACAGGTAGGGAGAGTAGGAAAGACAGATGCTGAGGGAACAGCAGGAGCAGGCAGGGAGTTGGATACTGTCAGTGCTGCCCTGAGCCTGCAGGTAACTTGGTGTTTCTCATCCATTCAGGCCCTATTCAGAAGCAAGTGAGGGAGAGGTAACCTTTCTCTTCCAGGGAGTTTGAGCCCTAGGCAGCTGAATCCTTGATCCCCAGTGTCCCCTATTTATGCCCTCCTGAGGGCACATCTCTTCCCCTGACCTTCATGGACTGTCCCAGGTGCACCCCCTGTGGATGTGCTCCGGGCCCTGAGGTTCCCCTCCATCCCCGATGGTGTCCGGAGGACAAAAGGCATCTGTCCAGCTGATGTGGCTTACCGAGTGTCACGACCTGCTCAGCTCAGTGCACCCACCCGCCAGTTTTTCCCAGGTATAGGTGACATGGTGGAGTAGAGACCTGGGGGAAGTGATAGGGAGGGGTCTGGGATCAGACAGCAGAATGGGAGGGGTTATAGTTCTCTTTGCCTTTTACTCTACTTGTGTGTATCTCTCTTGGATACTAGGAGGCTTTCCCAAAGATTTCTCTCTGCTGACTGTTTTCCGGACCCGGCCTGGTCTCCAGGCTCCCCTCCTGACTCTCTACAGTGCTCAGGGTGTACGACAGCTGGGCCTAGAGCTTGGCCGGCCTGTCCGCTTCCTGTATGAGGACCAGACTGGACGGCCTCAACCTCCAGCTCAGCCAGTTTTCCGAGGCCTCAGCCTAGCAGATGGCAAGTAAGTCAGTTTGCTCCTCTGGTCTGCCTGGCCCACACATTTAGGAAAAAGTGCCCCAGAATCCCTACTCCCTAAACTGGGAAATGCTACCAACTCCTTTGGTCACAACACACCTGCCGACTGCCTAAACTTCAGTCACTTCCAGCCTGGAGTTTGAGCTTTAGAGTTTGCATCCTTCTTTGGATGTTGTGCTAGCCTGTACCCTGGACATGTTACTAACTTTTTTGAG